GAACTTGTGCATTGATCAGATCTCTCCACAAGTCTCTGTTGAGTGTGTCGCGCCTCCAGTTCTTAATACCAAACTGCTCAAGATCTTCCATGATCTTCTTTTCCCATCGTTTTCGTGTACCAGCATTTGGTGGTCGTTTGGCATTGGGGAAATACGAAAACATGACTTTCTTGAGCAGACTAGGCTCATTTTGCACGTTGACCATTCTATTTACATGTCCAAACCAACGTAGACGATTTCGTCGTAGAAGTAGGTCGATCGATGGTTGTCCTGAGAGATTCAAGATTTTCTCGTTTGGAACACGGTCTCCAGGGTTTAGACCTAAGATTGTTCTCAGGCACTTCATATAGAATGTCTTGATACGACTTTCTTGGACGACAGTTGTGGACCAGACTTCACTCCCATAAATGAGAACTGGCAGCACACATGCCTGATTGTAAGACTAAATGTGGCACGAAACATTGTCCACGTAGAAAAGTAGGAGTGACATGCACAATAACAAGTTAAACAACCTGAATGTCTGAATTCAATTTGATTAATATTTTGCTTGCCTGCTTTCTTACTTTTAGGAAATGCCCAAAAAATCAGTAGAATTATATCAAAAAAAATATAAAAGTTGAAATTTACAAAAATATGCCTGTCTTATTTTTCACTGTACAAAGTACCTCAAAAAACGTTTTGGTATTCCTCTAGCAGGTGTTCCACCTTCTTATGTACTGTGACATTATAGCTGGTGTTCCCCGTAAGGAAAAAGTGTCCCACCTTCTTATAGATAGAATAGAAGTGTTCCTCTTGGCAAAAATTTGAAAAACACGAAAAATGTTCCGTTTCTAGTCTTTTCTAATAGGATTAAAGTAAATACTGATAAATCAAAGAAGCTATCTTATGTATAATTAAAACAGCAAATGGGTTTGATTTATAATAGAAAAAAATCCAAGTTCGACGTCCATTAATGATTCTGATTCTAACAGTGTTCAAACAAATAACAGTCGCAATTATGGGGCAAGAGCTGAACGTAAGACATTTTGAACAAAAACCCTCTTTTGTTCATTTAAGTCCATGGATATTCGGAATTGCGCAGCCAACGACAGAGGGATACGAGGCCTGTTTTTTCTATGTACAACGACGTGATGCTGCTACACTACTTCCAATTGTCTGGAAAAATGTTTATCAGGTCAGATGAGCTTATTGTCGTCAACAAACAACATATGGGTACGACCATCAAACCGTGAACCATTCGCAAAATTTTATCGATCCATACACCGGCTGTCACATGCAACTTATCGAATCATTATGAGGCCACGCAAAAACAAAGATTCTTAGAACAATGCGAGGAACAATCTTATTGGACTCACATCTGGCCGAATTCTGATAACGTTCTGTCCATAAGTCCATGTTCCATCTATTTTGAATGCTGTTCGACTTTATCGTTCTATCCTATTAGAATATTATTCGTTAATCCTATTAGAAAAGACTAGAAACGGAACATTTTTCGTGTTTTTCAAGTTTTTGTTAAGAGGAACACTTCTATTCTATCTATAAGAAGGTGGGACACTTTTTCCTTATGGGAAACACCAGCTATAATGTCACAGTACATAAGAAGGTGGAATACTTTTTTCTAAAAATTATAAAATAACAAAACCCAAAAAATTTCAAAAACCTTTCGTTATTGTGCCTGCGTATAATATATTTTTTCTAAAGGCAATTCTAATTTTGACTAGCCTAATCCCAAATCAATACAAGTTAACTTATAATTCTATGTCTCATAATGGACAATTTCTAGCTAAAACGTATAGTTTTTTGCCTGGCGAACTCTTAATTTTAATTCTGGCTCAAGAATGCTAGTCAGATTCTACATTTGGCTGAATTTTAAGTTTTGCTCAACATATACATATAAAAAAAATCTTTTTCATTTGTATAAACGCACCTTTTATCACTTTTCTTATTTTTTTAAAAGATGATCAGCAGTGAAAGTGAACGATTTGCACTTAAATATTTCTAATATCTTTCATATCTGATTATGACGTTCAAGATACTCACTCTTCATCACTTGAATGTCATAGTGATCTATACATTGACTACTGCAGTAAATGTAAGCGTCAAGGATTTAGCTCATACTTTGGAAACACATGATTGAAGCAGAGATATAGCCCCGGCCATATGGCTTTTCGCTTACCAATTGCTAGACAAAAATCAATAAGTTTATTATTAGTATTAGTATTTTTCTGTCGATCATCATCTGCCACACTTTCCTCAGAAACTGAAAAACTGAGTCTAGTTTATGCTCTCTCTAGAAGCGAACCTCTCTCGCACAATGAGCATTTTCTAACAGAAGATGAACATCCGAATTTTTTGCTTATAAACCTTTTTTTAATGAATAGTTATCATTACTTAGTCATCCCCGATGATGCAAGAAAAAATAAACGTTTTCAGAATAAATCATTTTTTTCAAAAATCGATCGTGCAGGTTCATGATAAAAAAATTCCAGTGGATATTTTTTCGGTCCAAAACTTACTGTTTTGTACACGATTCAGTGCAACTCCACGCGCTGATTCCGAATATGATCTTACTTTTGCTTGAAAGTGTTTGTGAACTGAAAAAGATATTTTACCTGAAAAAATCAGGACTTTTTTGAAAAACTTACTGCTTACTGTATGCATATCGAGTCCAAACAGGCTGGAGTCTTTTTGCCGACGAGCTGAAGAAAAATCTTTTTTGCAAGTTAGTTATAATCATAAGCTCATGACTAATATAAAAATCTCTGCTCAGGTCTACTCCAATACCGAGATAGGAGACATCGTTTCCTAAAAATCGAGCTACTTATGGTTATTTTACAAACAATATCTTCGATCTCAGTAGCGGAGCAGACCTGAGCAGAGATTTTTATATTAATCATGACTTATGATTATAAGTAACTTACAAAAAAGATTTTCCTTCAACTCGTCTGCAAAAGACTCTAGAATCTTTACCATTTTTATTTACAACTTTATTAAAAATAAAAAATAATAATTTTTATGTCATGCGCCAACATTTTCAATCTATCTTTTGCATATGCATTTTCTCACGATTCCAGTCATCTAAAACAAAGTTTTTATGCCGTTAAATAGAACACATGTCGAAGTGTATTTGTCCCTCTTTGAATCCGGAAAAAATAAACTATCTACGTTTGGTCAAATGGTCGCCTGAATGTACACTGTCCACTGTCAGTTTTTCATTCATTTTCAGAAATGTTTTAAGCTCATCACGATAATTTGACCTAGTTAGAGACGACCCGTACATGATTTCAAAAATGAGATTCGATTCTTCATAGAAACTAAAAGAGAAATATTCAAGTTATTTTTTTTGACTGGAACTAGGCATGTACCGGTTATAATCCAGTAAAATTGTGCAAAAAAATTTTTCTCAATGAAAATTGATTCTCCAAAATTTTTCTAACAACTGGGGCCACACGTTGACCTATGGGATTATTCTTCCTCTTGATCCAGTATTTATAAACAAAAGATTTCTTAAAAGTCCCATGATCGATTATAACCGATTTAGAGCTCTTCGTTGAAAAGCGATTGTAACAAAAATAGAAAACGTGAAGATTTCTGTCATACTTGTAGAAACATGCTTGCTCTACAAAAGCCAGTTGTTTTTTATGCAATTCATTGCAGAAAAAAGACTGAAATTTATCGGTTATAACCGGTGCATGCCTAATTGAAATTGACTTGATTATAAAACATATTGTACATATTTGTTGTTGTGTATAGAACTTATGAGTTAGGAGATGTGTTTCAATGCCTCTCTATTGCGTTATCGCAATTTTGACGTTAACGTGGTTCTGTTCTAGTTTGAACTAATATTTTATGTTCATAAATAATTTCTGAAAAAAAACCTTTTTCAAATTTGTCTGCAAAAAATTTTGAATTGATTTTATATGAATCATTATTAGATACTTTCAAATTTCATTTTATTCAGAAGCAAAAAAAAGAATCAATTACTCCTTTACATCATAGTACTGCAAACTGAAGTCAAGAAAATGTTAGAAATCATTTTTGAACAGCACGTATAATCAACTTTTTCTTCCATTTTACTATGTGTCTAACATTTACTAAATTTATGTATAATCCGAGAGCAATTTGTACAAATATAAAATCGAATACCAATGTATGCGCTGAAAAAATAAAAATAATATTGTCTGACCTACAATATATAGGCAATTTAAGTCACCGTATACTTTAACAATAAAAAAACCAAATATATATCACTACAGTGCAAAGCATTCAGATAGAGAACATGGGCAGTGAAGACTTGCAAAACAAAAACAGAGAAAGACTATTGAATCGGCAAAAAAGTTGTTTTTTTATAAATCATTTCTAGAACAAACTTTTATATGTAATATATCCCTTTTTTTTAGATAAACATTTTAAAAAAGGTTAAGATTTTGAATAACTAATAGAATGATGGCATTTATAATTGTGTGAGAATTGTACGATAAAATAAAACATACGAGTAATACATTTGAAAAGCAGATCAAGTATAAATATCTCAGGTAGCGCACTTATAGCGCTAATAGTAGTCGTATCATACGACTATTATGCCTAATATGGAATAAAAATTGATAATACTGTGTCAAGTAAGTAATTACATTCTTCTTGTTAATGGTACTTCTATTAGTAAATAATTGTCTTGTGTTACACGAGATGCAACTCTTCTTGTATCAACACCATTTGGTAATCGTATACTTTGTGTAAAACTTTTTTGTGCATCGTACATTGTATTATTATTACTAATATCTTTTTCATTGGATTTTCGTCCTTGTACTAATAGTGTGTTATCAAATAATTTTACGCTTAAATCTTGAGCATCATAACCTCTTGTATTCAGTTTTAATATTAATTTTTTACCATTTGGCGTAAAAGTAGGTGAAAATTTTGATTGAAGAAAGTCGGCGATATTGAACGGCGTTGTGTCTTCGTATGGATTTTGTTGTTGTGAAATATGTCTATCATATGTATTTGAATTTAAATCAGTTTGGACATGAGCGTTATTAGTCTCATAATGAGAATCACCAACATCAATTGCACTCTCACTCTTTCTTATTATTTTTGTTGGATAATCATCACGATTATTCTTATTTGTCAATGTTGAAACATCTTCGACATGTCCCTGAGATGCCGATCGATTATACGAATAGGCATTGTTTAAACTCCATTTTTGATCTGTGCCTGTTGATTGTTTAGTTGGTTTTGGATTAAATGTATCTAATAATTGTTCCCGAGATCGTCTAATGGCATCCTGATCTCGTAACATTGGAATGTCAATCGTTAACACACCTGTTTGTCTAATAATAGATCGTATTTTATCAATATCGGCTCCAGCGGGTATCTGAAATGTTTTTACCAATTCTTTACGAAAAAAATTATCTGCTGCATACTGATCCAGATGGAGAGCATGTACTAATATAGTATTATCACGTCTCAATTTCACTGATATTTCACCTTTGGAAAATTCCGATACAACAACTTCAATTCGTGTACACTCCGATCCAGGTTGTACGGCTGAATTATTCATTGATGAATAAATGTTCGAGTAAGTAATATTCTTCTTCTGATGGTAATAAGACGATATCTGAATATACACTTATTTGAATATGATGTTCTAATTCTAAAATATTACGTTGAACGAACAAGTCTTCCAGTGGATAAAAATAAATAGGTGTTGATAATCAGGAAGCACTAGACCTTAAAATGAAAATACAAATTTTTGTTAGCCATCTGAGCGAGAACTTCACTACACGTGCAAAAAGTTTTTATTTTTTTCTCTTATCAGTATTATATAATGTATGGAGAGAATATATGTTGATATAAGAAGGAGTGAAAAATTAATAATATGAACGCTTTTATTATACAAGAGCAAAGATGATCTCGTATGTGTGGTGTAAAAAAACGTTAGATAGGGCACAACATTGATCATAAGTATGGAAACACCACCCGGATAAAATTTGTTGTGATTTTGACCCAGACACGATATGACGGGATAGGAACAGACTTTTATCAGAGTGTTTTAAATTACTTATAGTATATTTTAACCCACTACTTTTAGTAAAAAGGATTTTCAGAAATTTTAATCAAAATTAACCAAAACTCCTTAGTGCACCATTATATCCATGTGCTGCGTATGTATAGACCTACATTCATTTATTGGAAATAACACTTTTTTTAGCCGTTTTATTGTATTATTTCTGAAGATTCTCTTGAAAAACATACAAAAAAGAACACTGTAAGCTATCAAACAAAATATTTGTTTTTTCACAATCGATATTTTTGACAAATAATCATTTCTCACATGAAAGAGTCTTAAGTTTACCATATTGAAAAGGTTTTAGATGTACATTAAATAGATAGTATAAGTGAAATATTCCAGTAAATCAGTTTAAACAGCTCAAAACTAAATTCATATTTTAGTTGCAATCATTACACGAGATGCACATTTGTCCGCTCCTCTGAACCATATTATTGAAAATATTTTATATGCCTTTAATGCAGAGAATTTTTAATCAATATAAAACATCACTCTGAAAGATTAAAGTTAGTAGAAATCCTTTTTACCAAAAATGTAATTAAAATATTTTACTTATCAAATAATATATTTTTCTTCTAGACACTCTAAATATACATATAGCAAGAAAAAATGAAATTGAATTGACCGTATAAATATCTTAAGCAATTATATTAGAGATAATTTGTAATATTTTGATGAAAGACTGGTCCTTATCATGTTATATCGTGTAGGAGACAAAGTAACAACAAATTTTATTCAGCGGGTGTATATATATTTATGATCAATCACTATGTACTTCTTTCTGTTTTTTTTTATTTTTATTTTATAAGACTAATTAATTCTTGTTCGTCGATATTTATTTTATTTATGTAAGTTTATTTCCATGTCAGTCAAAGACAAATGAAAAAAAGAAGCAATTATATATTGCATAGTGTAATATAGTAGTAAACATTAGTATTCTACTCTCTTCATAGTCATTAATATTCTATTCGAGAATGATTGTATGTCAATATTGAATCAATCGAATTTTTTTCCTAACATTGATAAAAAAAGTTAACTCAACAAAAACTACTCGGAAAATATATTTTCTTTAAAAGTATTTCATTGGAATCTAATATTTCTAGTCGCATACTTCTTAATAAACAATTATTATTTCTTACGATATTTTATATTTTCAATAGTCTATAGTAGATTTTTTATTCTGTTCAATGTTATATATCTAAAGTTATTTTCAGTGTATATATATAGTGTAAAGTGATCGACTTATGAGACACATAACTAAAATAATTTTTAGATTTTTTCCTTGAGAAAAAAAATAGACAACTTGACAGCTGACACCATCAAATCTTCGATAAAATATTCTCAACATTATTTTTGTCTCCTGTATAATAGCTCAGAAACATATGAATAACGATCAATTTGTTTATGTAAATGGACTTCTTATCATAATCAGAAATCATTCAACCATCAAGGACATTTGAAATAAAAGTACATCAGGGTACAATTAAATCTTATTCGAATCCTAAGATTCCTCTCTAGAAAAAGAAAAGAAAAGAAAAGGAAAAAGATGTATTTTCCAAAATCTAAAAAGAGATTTAGAAGAATATCATCCCACCAGGAACAAATAGATGTTTCATAATTTCTATCTAAAATCTATAAAAAGTTTCCTAATGGATTTCTCACTCTAATCTATGAAACATATCAATTCAATGCGAGTGCAAATGAATGGTTCTTTTGTTAAAAAGCGTCATTTTCATTGACACTGAAGCAACTAATAAATCTCACAGTTCTAATAACTAATGGGTTTAGTACTAAGTATAAAATTAGTAATCTTCGTGAAAATCATATTAGATTGTGAGAACAACTATAGATTTTTCATTCAATAAACCGTTTTGATTTTCAAACAAATAACAAGAGTCCAGTAGCTTCAGAGTTAATAATAAAAATTCTCATTATTTCGATTTTAAAAGATTTTCTCACCTAAATCTAAGAGTTTTAGTAGCAATCTTAAATTCTTATAAGTTTTCTATAAAATCTAATTTTTGATAATCGTTTGTCGCAGACAAAATTCAACTTCTAGTTCTAGTGACATTTTTTTTTTTTTTTTGTTACCAATCAAATTGATACTGACAAATTTACGAACTCTTACAGATTGTCTGATCGTCTTCTTAAGTATTTTGATCTTATCTTTAAATTATCAAATGTTATTCTCTCTTTCCTGAATCTGTGCCTGCTGACATTGCATTCAGTCACATTTAAAACGTGAAAATAAACCTATAAGAAGAGTAATGACTGGTAATTCTAGTACTAAAAACATAGAATATTGTAGTCTGACTTACTCATTTTAGATCATTAATTCGTATTATTTGTGTTATTGCAATTATTAATATATTTTTTTTTGTTAACATAGAAAGAGAAGGAAAAAAAATGGAAAGCCAAATAAAGAAGTCTCCTGAGAAAACTCGGTAAGTGTATCTCAACTAAGATTTCATGTTCTTAAAATACATCTAGTACCCATAGTGTTTTCTCTTCCCATTTTTTTTTCCTTTAATATTATATATGAAAGAAAGTAAATTTTACTTTTTTTTTTTTTTTTATACTTTTCAACATAACTGATCTATAGACCATATACTCTGCTATTTGCTTATATGCGCTCTTTCTTTCAATTCTGTATTTTCAATCAAGCCGAATAACCTCGTAAAATAAAAAATAAAAAAAAAAATTAGATATTTTTCTATGAATAGAGTAAAAAAAAAAAAAATAGAAAGAAGAAAAAGAATACGAAAACACACAAAACCTTCTACTATCACTGAACATCCAGACTGCGTGCAAAAAAATTTTTTTCATGATTAGAAAACAATATACTCATCAAAAAAGAAATAATGCACTATTATATTACAATTGTGCATTAAAAAGCTACTTGTAAAGAATTTCTATTTCACATGGGAAAATCTATCAGAACATCTTCAAAACAAAAAGATCTTCATCAAAAAAGATTAAAAAAAAAGCTTATTTGCTCATTTAACATTCTATGCCGTGCAATCAAATGTATGCACATTATTTGATTTAGAAACGGTTCTATTCCTTAGTGCTATGTATATTTTCATTGTTTAGCTCACATAACAAATAGAAACGGATACAAAGATCATTAAGTTTTAATTAGTCAACTTTGCATTTAATTTTTATTTTTTTTACAAATATCTTCTTTTTTTTACTTACTCAATAGATTAAAAACAAAAGCAAACTAGTTATACAAATTCGATTGTCGTAAAAAGACTAACAAACATGTAAATCTGTACACAGTAACTGTATTAGGGAATAATTGAAACAAATCTCTTATATAACTTCAATGATGACCATCCTTGAATACAATTGAAACAAAAAGAATCTTATCATAAACACTTCTCTTATCAAAAAATTTGTACAATAAATTTTCTTCTAGAAATTGTGCCATCGTGATACACAATCACATTTCTTTTATCAACTCATTTCAAAAACTTGATGATTTTTTTCTAATACATATCATTTTTCCTATTACCAAAACGAACATTTAAAAAAAAAAATAAAAAAAAGAGCATAAAATCGGCGCTACTTCTTCAGCCTGTATATTTGGGTAGTCGATCCATGACGAGCACCTAGACATCGAGACTGTTTCATCTTACCTTGATAATTAGTATTTGGATGTATGCATCAAAGCAAAAAAAATAGGAAAACGATGACAATAAATTGCTCTTCATAGTAAAATAAAGAACTATAAAAAAAAATTCAAGAAATATAATTTTTTTTATATTTTTGGTATATTTGTGGCTTTTTCATTTCTTTCAAAAAATAAATGATAAAGCTTTTTTTTTCTTCGACAGTTCTCGTTTCTTCCTTTCTTCATCTTCAACACGATATATATGTGACTGTCAAAAAAAGAAAAAAAAAATGGATCTTATGTAGATTACGAACAAAAATGTCTATTCTTCACTGTATTGGAAGACGACAACAATATAGTTATTCAAACTTTTTTTCCTCATATTCTATTATAGTAAAAAGAAATGTACCCAAAATATGACTAGATACACGCAAAGATGGTCTATATAATATTATGTCTTGATAAATGAGATCTCACCATGAATTCATAATTATTATTTAAAAAATAAAAAATATGTAAAATGTCACTGTTGAAATATAACTCTATCTACTATGATAAACAATTATTTTTCTCTATTTTTTTGACATTTGATGATAGTTTCAAGAATTATATAAAAGAATCTTTTTTTCAAACTACAACAAAGAAATAAAATGTTGTTCCAATTTACTTAAAAGAATTTTATCTATCATTTTTATTAATTAAAAAACTAACAGACAATTAATAGGTTTTTTTTTATTCAAAATTTATCTTACTCTATTCTCTCTCTCGTATTAACTTTAAAAATACAAAAAAAAAAAAAAAAATCATTTTGAACACTTTCTTTACGTTTGACAGAAACCTTATGAAATATCTATACTACTTAATATTCAAGTTATTTTTTGATTAAAACTTTGAAATCAAATTATACAGACATTTAACTGTCAAACTCATAGAATAGTTACAAGACAATCAGTTATGTAGATATTATTTATTATAGAAGTAAATTTTTCGTTGTTCACTCAATCTATCCTTGTATTATAGAAAATAAAAAAAAAGAATACATTATCGTACAGATCAAATTAAAATGTTTATTTTAAAAACAAAACCTTGTTTTGATAGGTGTTCGTATATTACTGATTAACAATAGTTTTCTATTTATTTTTTTTCTAAATTAAACGATCATTCGTAAATCTAATATTGATCAAAATCAATAAATAATGTTTTGAGTAGGAATCTCAGTTGTGTGTATATCCTTAAGTTTGCCCCATTCACTATTTTTATTTATCTGACAAGAAATTTAGTTTTATTGCTATCATTTATTCTTTTTTATTGTTTTTTTTTTTAAAATAGAACAATATTATTGTATTAACTATTCGTTTAGGATCAGTGTATACATACTCCGGTTTCTTGTGCAAACAAACTGAAAATAATACTTGTTTTCTAGATAATATTTAAAAAAAAGTGAAAAACTTTCTATTAAACAAGACTAACGTTATATTGTTAAACAATCAATGTTTATTTCCTTTTTGATATATTTTATTCTATCAAAATAAATTGTCTGATTTAATTTTATTCATTTTTATTTTCTATCTTTTTAATTCATTGTTACTTGATTTACTTTGACATTGATCATTTATGACATTTATTGATGCTTGACATATTATTAACTTTTTCACTTTATTCTATAAAAGAAAAACACAAAGATTATTTAAAAGTACAACAAAGCAGATAGATGAGTTAATTAGATATCTAGGACAATCTTTCTTATTATCAATATTCATAATCTATTCTTCGTATTCATGATATGTAACGATTGTTTATCTATTTCAACAGAGTACTATTTATTTCGACTATATGAAATAATTGTATACACACATTAATTTATTATTAGACATATCTATTTTACAAAATTCCAGTTGATATTTTTAACTTTATTTTTATCATTATTGTCCATATAGTTTTCTGATATATGCGCTGTTGTCATAGTAAATTTTCAATTTTGTATGCAATCTATTCTCGTTGATAAATCATTAATAAATTTTCAAATATGAAACTTTATTTTATCAATTGAATTCATAAAAAAAATTTTTAGATAAAGGTTTTGATAGTAAATAAGCTGATTTAACTATAATTTTGAACAATAGCGTAAATAACAGTTTAAAAGTGTTATGAATTGTCCAATGATGTGTATAAAATTCAATTTGACCGAGGATATAGAAAGAAATTGTTAACATATGTTTATCAATTATGGATAATAAACAAATTAATCACAAATCAAAATTATTTTCAAGATATTTGATAGAATACATGAACTACTGTACGAGTTTCTGATAATTCTTTACGCCACTAAAAGTATTTAATGTCTCGATTTAACAATCGGTTCATATGACATATGCAAAGTGTCTACATTAGCAGAGCGTATGACAGTAATTTAACCAAAACACGTATTCATTCTACTATATTCTTGTTTCAAAAAACTATATCTAAAAAGTATAGATGACGAAAAGATGCCAAAATTTTGACAATGAAAAATTTGGATAAACAAGTTTTTTTTCATAGTTTTACACAAAAGAAACAAAATACCACCATTTCATTGAACATTGTTAATTTCTTCTATAATCCCATTACATAGACCATCAAGTTCATCGTTCTCATACTTATATGATCGTTTTTAACAGCAAAAATTTAAATCAACATCATTTATTTTCTCTAACAGTCAACATCATAGCATTACCGGAGGAAAATTTCTGAAAAGTATATCGTGAAGCATATAATGTTTGGTTAAAACACACACACACACACACACATCACATTACGTAAAATAGATAAACGTATGTATAAAATAGATAGGTTGAGCAAAGGATTAAATATGAAAAATCAATACAATCTAATAAAAACAATCAAAAGGTAGAAAAATCAGCGTGAAAATACGCTTCTATAATTGTTTGATATATATACAGAGATAAACAAAAAATTAACATTGAAGAAAATGTAGGTACAAACAATCTTAATTCTATATACAGTATAAAAGAAAAGAAGATGAAAACATACGTGTACACATACTAAAAATAAATCAATTTTGCTAATGTAGCTCTGAATATACAAAAAACAGCCAAGCATAACATCAATTACATTTCATATTATACGCGTCAATATCGTTTTATCTTAAGTTGAAGAAGAAAATAATAAACAGATGAAGGTTTTAAAGTATTCACATTTCATTATGGTTATTATTTTGATGTATGTCATCAGGATTTTCACCCGTTTCGCCTATACTTGTCTCCATTAAATCGTCTAAAGTTTTATTTACAATGGTATCTAAATCATCATTATACACGGTAGAAGACTGATTATGTTCATCTATTGCTTTCTTTTCACTGTTTTCGCTCTTCATATTCAATAAATAATTGTTATCATCAATGGTAGTGGGATTGATAATTGTGCTATCATAAATAAAAAAAAATAGAATTTTATTTCATCATACTTTCCTATTTATATTGGTTGGCGCCAGGGATGTTCCGTTCTCGGTTCTAGTTCTTGAGTTAGAACCGAAACAAAAAGAAGCGCGGTTCCAGTTCCTCATGCGGAGCAGAAACGAACAAAACCGCGATTTCGGCTCTTGACTTAGAACCAAAACGAAAGAAACCGCGGTTCCGGTTCCGAACTTAGAGCAGAACCGCGATTCTCGGTTCTCAGCTTAGAACCGGAAAAGAATTTTTCAGACAGTAACAATTCAACGAAATAGAATTCAGTTTATAGTAAACAAAAAGGATAATTTTAAATGATGATAAGCAAATATATTTTTTTGTAGCTTTGTCAATGGTGTGTTTTCATTTTGTTAAAAGAAAGGAAAGTCAAAAAGTCTTGGTTCCGTAAAAAAGGAACCGTCTAAGAAACCGTGGTTTCATTGTTAAAATCGGCACCGCGGTTCCAATTTCCGATGAAAAACCGAAAATAAAAGAATCGCAGTTCCGTTCTTCATAAGAACCGCGAAAACATTCCTGATTAGCACTAGAGATCTCTGTCATATTATTAATACTCATTTTAGCATAAATATTCTTAATTTAATTAAAAGTCGTAAATTAAATAGTTAAACACAAAACAAAAAAAATTAGCATTCGTCAGAGTAAAAGTATGACCAAAAATTAAAATCCGTACATAACTTTATGATGTTATGTCAATAAGAATCTCATAATCTAAACAATCCAATATGTTGAGTATTTAAAGTTAAAATATTCCTTACCCGTAACCATCATCTTCTGTTGTCTCTTGGTGAGAATGAATCTGATAATCATTATTTGGTATGTCATTCATTAACATCATCAGTATACCGTTTGAATTGCTGTTATACTCGTTGTTATTCGTAGCATGCTCACTAGTTTCGTCAAAAAATTGTTCCAACGACGGACATGAATGATTTATAATTGTAGATGTCTCAGTAATACACGATGTGACAGGTACTAACAACAGATCCTCGGTGCTTGATGGTCGAATTTCTTCTAAAGTTGGTTGTTCATTTATTGTTTCTTTAGTTACTGAAAATAATCAGATTAATAAAAGTTACCTTTTCCTTCAAGCTTGTCAGAAAAAGAGAGAAATTTTGTTCAAAGTATCGAGTCTAAACTATCAGAGATTTAAGACAAGTATATCAACCGTTAGTGCTCCTAATTTTGATGTGTTGTATTATTGTTATTACCAAAACAAAAAAAACGTTACAGATATGTCAGTCTGCTGTTACCTGATTGTTGTGAACAATTTTCTTTTTCATGTAAAAATTGACTTTCATTACATTGTAATGGACATCTTAATTTTTCGCCACAAAGACAATGGTATGCTTCTGAAAAGAATTGATCATAATCAATGTTGTTATTAATCGTTTGTGATGATGCTGAAATATCCTGCAATGTTTGAGTCATCCAGTTCATAATCGTATTCACCGATATATCTCGTTTTGAAACTGAATTAATTGATTGTACTAAACGTATAATAAATTCAAAACATTCTTTATATTCATCATTAGTTACATCAACGTGATTTTGATGAAAGATCAATGATGTTAATTTTTTTACAGCCAATTGGGGATATTTTACAGCAGATATTTTCATTATTCTCAAAAGTGAAAAACAATCAATAAATGTTATATTCATAAAACGTATTTTTATTTCAGGATCTTCAATAAATGAATGGTCTAAATCGTCAACATTTCCTATTTGCCAAGCATCAATAAAACGAAAATCTGTTGTATTTATTGATAATTCGGATGGTTTCGATAGACTTATACAACAATCAGACGAATCAACATTATTATGTATTGAAAATAAAAATAAATCATTATAATCCTCTTGTTCTGAATGATGCGATTGATTATCAATTAAAGATGAATGAACAAAATCGGTAAATACATTAGAAGACTCTTGTAAATTAGGATGTTTATGTTCATTTTGTTGTTCGTATACAAATAAACTAGATGGCAACGTAATATTTAAATCTGTTGTTAATAGTAATGATTCCAATGAAGAATTATACTCTAATAATGGACATTTTTCATGAATCCAATTCAAATAATCGCTAATTGTTATAAGATTTGTTGGTTTACATTTTTGCTCTAATATTTTTTTATAATATGCAGAAATAAATTTATATACGGATTCGATAATGTCTTGATCAATATTTCCATTGGTACATTCTGATATAAGATCAATTAAATGATGAACTAATTCTTTTGGATTTTGACTATTTAAGTATGGACGTAAAACATTGCAATTAATTTTTGTCGAGCCAAAATCTATGAATGTATCAGATTGTTGATTGATAACTAGATCACTATTAGAACTCATTGTACTCTCATTTGACGGCGCTATAAGTTTTTCTTGTTGTTTATCACCCGACTAAAATATTTAAATACGAAATGACAAAGTGTATAAAATGTTAACATATGACAGTTGACATGTGCAATCTAATAATAAGGACAACTAAAAGGTGTTAGCAACACATTGGAGAATCTGCTACATAGAAAAGTGACAGAATCTTTTGACTGTTATAAGTAATTCTAATTAGAAAAAAACATTTTTAAGAAAATTTACTTTCTTAATACTTACAGTATTTTTGTCTGTTGTGCATTTAGAAAACAGAAATTTATAATCTGGTGTTGTTTCTTGTTGGAAAATATTCGGATCATGAATGTACTTTTTCATACATAATAATATATGGTTTGGCCGTAGATAGTCTATACGTTTATCGTGCTTATAATAACGTCGAACAAGTTGTAAAATTAAGCGGCATACATCCGTATTTAATGTCGTGGATGATACTGGTTTATAATACCAATTTGTTTTATCCATGGAATCATTCGGTTCTCCAAATACTAATAAACCTAATTTGGCAATAAAATCACACATTCCATTATCAGATTCGTTGGCAACTGGCATTGTCTGTTTATGATCATTTATTATCTTTCGCAGATGTTCTGATGAAATTTTAAATGGACCAAAATGAACATCAGTATCATGATCTACTGAATGGAAAAATTGATTCCATGTTTGTTTAGGATAATTGTAAGCTGTCGATGATACTGGTAGAGATGATTCGTGATAATACTGATGAGGAGATAAATCTGCGGTGATTATTTCATTTGTTGTATCAATTACTGTTGTTGTAAGTGGTATCGAAAGACCTCGTATTTGTTCTTGCTGATCATTTTCAACAACTACAAAATGAAAAATTTCACGATATGTAAAGAATATTATTACTAAACGCTCATACCTGCATCGATATGATATTGAGAAGATTTACTAGTTGAATCAGTTTTGGGTGGACGACGTTTACCATTTCGATTAAATGCATGTACCCAGGATACAATACGACTGAGTGGAATATGTTGTTTTTCATAAACAAAACGAATCAACTTCGAAATTTGCAAAATAGCCGCTTCATTAAGTAGTTCCTTTGGATTTGCTGTAACTTGAAGGGACGGTTTTATGGTGTTGGATGTTGCTGATAAATTTGCGGCTGCTTCCCTTGCTTTCATCAGACTCATTTGTATATCGCTAAACAGAAGTGCCATGAGACTGTGTGTTGCCTCACGTGCACTTAAACGACTACGTTTTTCAATAACAGACAAAATTTGTGTTGAATCAAGATTATGAGAGCCAAACCAAACTTGAAATCGTTGACCACTTTTGATAGCGTCAATCAATTCTTTCATCATACTATCTTGATCATCTTCTTCATGATCGATTGTGATAGATGATCGTGGCTAAAATGAAATAAATCTTTTGTTTAGAAACTAGAACTTTCATATTAAGAGAGCAACATACACATGCGTACCTAGATTTATGAATTGGTCTTACTTACCTTAGGCAGATATTGTTGTGATTGTATATGCGGAGAATGACTATTGTTTTCGTTATGTGATTCAGATGATCGTCTTAATTTTGTCGGGATATCACTCAAATTTTGTTGTTGTTGATTTTCCTGTTGTTTATTTGTTTGTTTCGTTGTACTAGTTCTCTTCTTTGTCTGCGTTAGTGGTGATGGTGAGTATAATGGTGAATATGTGGTCATTGGAGAATTAATTGGACTTAGTAAGTTTTTGATTTGGCCATCGTCTGACGGTATGAGTCTCTGTTGTTGCTTATCAGAATGAGTCATCTGTAATTTATCATCTGGGATAACTGTTGTCAGTTTTGATGTTTTAGTGTTAATAGCCAAATCAGGTAAGTTCACATCGACACCCAATGCTTTGTGCTTTTTTCTATAATAAATTAATTTTCTACCTCTTTCATTTACCCAACGTGCAATTTTTGGATGCTAAAATATATCTATTTCTAACTTTTTGTTCTAAGTATGTGGTCAACAAATTACTTACTGTTAATGATGAATTTGGGCACATTGTCGTTATTAGTCTTGCCAATGTATCAAAAGCTTTATTGTCTAATTTACTACTAGCTTCACGTCTTGTTGTGGTAAAAGGAGGCGTTTTATCTGCGAGATCCCATCCAAATATTAATTGTGATAATTTATAAGTTAATACCTGAAGATATAAGACAGATTGAGAATTACAAGTCAAAAGTAGTACTAATGAAACAAACCCTTGGTTGCGAGGGTGCATATCTTTTCAACAATTGTACAATATGACCGAGAACAACATTATAAGGACCAAATGATACGTTTTTGGTATTATTGTCATATAAGAGGAAGAATTTATGCAATTGTTCATTTACATCAATTATACGCGATGTCTGTTGTTGTTGCTCGTCGATTGAAATCATAGAGGTTGTTCTTGTGAGATCATTATTAATAATCATTGGCTCATCATCTTCTTCTTCATTTTCATCATCTGTATTTAATAACAACTGATGTTGTTGTGAATTGCCAAAATGTAATTGTTCTTTTAATAATTCTTGTTGTTTTTGCTGTTGTTCTGCAATAGATGTTTGTCGTTGAATTTGTAACACAAGGTTATTATTTGAGCCACCAACTTGAGTGCCAGCTAGATGAAAGAGAGAGATATTCATACACACACATACACAATATGGCAATGATTGTAACTACCTTTCACACGACTATCACTACATTTACGTCGAATCCATGTACGTATTTGTTGTCGTCTCAGATTTTCGCTTCGATACAATGTTAAAACCAGTGAACATAGGGCTTCAACAGCTTCTTGATTTAAGATGTCATAAGATGATAAACGATGGCCTTCGGGTAACGGTTGCGCTATTTTATAACTTAAATCGCCTAGAAAGAATAGAAGAAAAATAGATGAGTGTCAACAAAATAGCTCATTTTTGACGTACCGAATATTAGAGTTGTTAGATGACCGGTGAAAATTCTTGGTCTTTTTTTAAAACTATGCATCAATTGAAGAATGTCTTGTGAATTGACATCATGCGGACCAAATCGAACCAAAAATTTGTGTCCATTTTCAATAGCATGAATCAAGTCGTCTATCGTATTTATACCATCACGAGGAACATTTGTGGTTGTACCATTTTGTTGATTAAGGGGTTGTTGTTGAACCATAACTTGTTGATTTTGTAAATGTTGTAATAACATTTGAGAATCATTATTTATATTAGATGTATGCTGATTATTCGACTGAACTGGTTGTTGTTGTTGTAGAGAGACAAATGTCGGTTGTTTAATAGTGTTTGTTAGAACGATATTTGCAGCTGCAGAAGTATTAAACAGTGCTGCTAGTGTTCCAAGAGTTTTCAATTTTGTCTCATTCCCTAGAAAAGAGAGAAATCAATTGAGTCAATTTCTTGCGACAAGCGAAAAGAGTTTCATATAAACGATTTTCTTAACACTGTACAAAAAAAAGCATTAAAATGAAATTTCTTTGATTGATCTATCATTTTAGCAGCCATGCTAATTAAATTTATTATAGTCATTTAACAACTGACCCTTAGTTTACTAAAATTCTCAGAGGACTTGCCTTGATCATGTGGGATATTCGGTGTTTGAGTTATAATCCCTCCATGATTTGTTCCATAGTCTTGCTGTGTATTTAATGGTCGTGTGATAGATGGAGGAGCACCCGTAACAACTGAATAACTGGTAGTTGTTACTGCTTGGTTATGAAGAACTTGATTGATATCATTTAATGTAATAAAATAATCTTTATTCGTTTGATTATCATGATGAATCGATTGTTGTTGTTGTTGATGATGATGAGAAATGTGTGTCTGTTGAGATCCAGGATGAATATTACGATGCTCGTTATATGTACTTATTTCAGGCCAACGTGTTGACTGAATTAAGTCGGTCAATGATGTATGATAAATATTACTGTTTTTTTCCGATTTTGTTTCCATGTTTGCATTTTTTTAAATTTATCAACTAAAATAAACGAATAAATACGACTAAGAACAAAACAGTTTATAGCTGCTTGTGATTGAACAAATATAAATAAAAGAAATAAAACGTCAGAGTTTTGATTCATACACACCATTTATGTATTAAAACAGATATTTCAAATTTACTTTCCCCCACGATTGAACCATATTTATTACCAAATCATTACAAACATCTCTACTTTTGACTGTAGACTTTCGGTCAGAAGCGGTGACAAAAAAAAAATTCACAGCAGATCGATATTGTTTTTCTTGCTAAATCAAATAAATAATACAACATTAACAAACTTTGTGCACAATACATCAAAAAATAAAATAAATGATAATAACAACGAGATAAAAATAAAATTTTCAAAAGAAAAAGCAAAGAGAATTTTGTTTTTATTTTATTCATTAATACCTGTTTTGCTTTTTTTTAAAACTTGAACTTAGGTAAACAGAAAAACTTTAAATTCAACAATTGCACAAAGTTTATGGAAAAGGGAAAAAAAGACATAAAGAATATAAAGGTTTTTTTTTATTTGAGAAAGTTTTTTTTTTATTCTAAATCCCAAAAAATGAATGTAAGGGTTTGTCACTGTTTAATATCAATTACAGAAAAATACTGGAAAAGACTAGATACAAATGAGAAACGATGGAAAAATTGTAGTATCATATCGTCTACTCATATTTGAAACAAGAAAAAACAATACATAAAAGTGTCGTTAAAAAGAAAAACGTTTAGGGAAGAATACAAACAGTTCTTCTAATAGATGATTTCTTAATACATTACACCGAGAAAAAAAAAATGTTATGTACATAAAATAAAATAAATTCGTACTACCGTATTCTTATTCACTGTTCCACTTTATACTAGTAGAGAAAATAATAAACTCATAAAACATGCTATATGATAGTTGTATGATTTTACAAAGAAATAAAAAATATGTCATGATTCACCCTACACCATTAAAAAGTAAAATAAAATAAAGAATACATTATACCCAATCACCTATTGACTAGAAGAATAAAAACAATTGAAGAAAGATGACAATCTTCAAAATGAGAATGCTTATCCAAAAAGATCATTTATATTCATGAAACGTCGCACGGATATATTAACGGGTAAACGAAAATCAATTGTTGATAAACGATCCAATGAATGTAAAGCATCATTAAATCCTATAGTAAAACAAATATAAATAGATACTAGACAAATTTCTCTATTTTTATTTACCAGTTGTTTTTGTATAACTCCATGATTGGTAATAGTTTTCAATTAGTGGAATTGTTTTTATTAATACACGTAAAAATGATACCAGTTTCTTTTCACTAAAAACAAAATACAAATTTCGAATTTTAAAGTTTCATTCAGAAAACTTTATAATTATTCGTTTATAAAGTTTCACTGCTATATTATAATAGACAGGAAAAACAATTTATGGGATGAAGTTATTTGTAAAAATTTGAAAAGCAAAAGATGCTTACTTTAATGCTAAACAAATGAATGCTTTGAAACAACTATCCATTGGTTTATTATGTTTTTCATGCAATTTGACAATTGTATCTATTGCGCTGAGCAAACACTAATAAAAAACGATGATTAATCAATTGAACATAACTCTTCTCGAATACAAAGACATTACCTGCTTGAGTGTTATAGGTTTTCCTCCAACTACTTCTAACGAAAATGATTGTGATAACTTTCTTGCCGGACTATTTGCAAAGTCATTTCCATGCTGATTTGTTATAAAAAAAATCTTAAATTCATGGTAAACACACGAAATTTAAAAAAAGATGTTACCTTCATGCCATAATATCGCAAAAATAATTTCCATATATGCATTGTGTCGTTTGTATGTAGTAGACCGCCAGCTCGAGTTGCAAAACAGCCCCATGCCACTAGACTTGTAGAATAATTGGTCTAAAGATAAACAGAAACATAAAAGACAGAGTAAAACAATAACAACCACAACCTACTTCATAAAGACCATGCTCCATCAATGCACGTAAAGCAGGTGCAAGTTCTTGGCGTACAGCCAATACAACTTCTTCTGAATCATATTCATCCTAAATAAAATTAAAATAGTTTTCTTATTTATAAATAATGGCAATATAGATCAGATAAATTTTTGAACATTGTCCGTGTGTTATACTCACTTCTTCATGTTCTCCATCGTCGCTACTTGTCGACACATCATCGTCGGTGTAGTTGTTATTGTGTACCATTACTGAATTGGAATAACGAACGGCATTTAGAACTTTTTCAATAGCAATTTCAAGTTTTGCTCGTAAATCCCTAGGAATAGAAAGTACGAAAAAAATAAGAGGGCGGATTTGAAATTCTATAAGAATTACCCAAAATGTTTTTTAGCAACCGTTTCTTTTTTCATTGCTGTTCCTGTCTGTCTCTTTTGCATGCTACGTGTACCACATGTTAGTAGTAAAAATGTATACAGTTGCGTTAATATAACAAATTTCTTAATCGATTGGCCGAAATTTACGCCATCGCTTGATGTGCCTGATGCCTGTTGTCTGGTTACTGATGATTTTGGTGCTGTTTGATTCTGAAAAAATTAAATTAGCAGTAAAAAATCGAGTAGTGAAGAAATCCCTTACAACATTCGATTTTGTTGACGCTTTGCTATTCAACATCGTTCTTGTCCTGGGCAACGACGCATTTCCAGATATTGCTGACTGATTATTTGAATTTTGAGTAGCATCGGCGTTATTTGATGCACCAGCATTCGCTGAGTCGGCTATGAATAAAAGTAACAAAGAATTTTGCTTGCCAATTACAATTTAGAGATACCAACCTTTTAGAAATTCTACGAAACTTTCTAAATCATTAATTTGCGTACGCATTTGAAGTATTAAGTTTTCTTTCAGTTTTACAGGATTAGTCAACTAAATGAAAATAGAGGATAAGAAATAAACAGGCACACGTTATTCATTCTTATAACAAACCTGATGAATGGCTTGATCCACAAGTTTTCGCAATTCTTCGGCACTAAAATAGTAAATGTGAAGTTCAGAATAGAATGTTACAGACTAAAAATGGTTGTTTACCTCAATTTCGACACAGATACATCATCCAACTGTAAATCTAATTTCTCACGTAACTGATCGATTAGAACTTTTTGCTTCTCAATCATTACTGATGTTGGACATCCATCAAGACTGCCAGACTAAAACATGTAACAATTAGATATACAATCTACAAAGTTTTCTTTAACTTACTGCTTGCGCATATCGTTCTAATTCGTCCAATTTTTGTTTTAGTTCACTAATAAATTCCCGTTCTCGACTTTTTTCGGCTTCAATCAAGTTTTCATTATTTATATCCTTAATACATAAATCAAGTGAAATAAGTTGGGTTCAGTGTGATTGAATCAATCGATCAATACATACTTGACTGTATTTCGTGGGTTGACAAATAGCATCGGGAACTAAAATATTGAATCAGTTTGTACAAAAATACTAGTTATATGGTTCAAGAAGGGATATAACAACGTACTTCCAGTCGTAGCAAATTCATGCAATTCTCGTAGTAGATGCTTTAAAAATAAAGAATAGAGCATCGATAGATTAATAAATTTTAAAAAGACATTTTTCTATCATACTTCGCGATCTTCCGTTGAAGCGCCAACAACTTGTTGTAAACGCAATTGTACATGTGCAAAATGACGTGTTAGGGCACTTAACGATGCATTTAATTTTTCGTGTTCTTCTAATAACTGAAGTTTGGCTAATTCTTCAGCTTCATTTTCTGATACACTGTAAAAGAGAAAGATCGATAAACATTTTACTCCTGAAAGCCTTTATAACTAAAGTTACCCTTTTCCATATTCAGTTTCTGACGAACAACCAACGGGCGTTAAACGCCCGGTTATGGGTAATTTTTCGTCGTCTGACCTTTCAGCCAAATCTTCAGCTAGCATAATTACAAAAAGGTAGAATCTGCAAGAGAATTGAATTGTCAATAGCAAGTTACTGAAATGAACAAAGTGTCCTATAATCAGTCCTATGATCAGTATGCATTAGTATAAGTGGGTTACAGTAAAACATTTACGAATATGCTCTAATTGAAGAAATCGTTTATTAAGAAATTGTTGTAACATTTGAATACTTGTAGAACTGGAATGAGAAGACTTTCTTTTGAAGTTTTTATCTCAGGCTTTTGATTTGAATAAAAAAAAGTTTTATTTTGAGTTTTGACGTCATTTGCTATACTAACGTACTTTATTGTACAAAGCACAAGCCAATTAGATTTAGATATGGGGCACTCTACAAATTCACACATTCTGCCGTTGAAAGGAAGAGAGTGTGATATTAGTTAGTGAGTTACGATCACAGTAATGGCTTTTATTAAAAGACTTTATTCGCTTCTTGAAGAGAAGTGCGGTGTTGTAATTCAGTAGCGTCATCTATCTTGGTCATCTTTCATTTCAAATACAACAGCTATTATACATTCATTCTGAGTGTTCAGTTTCATTTTCCGTTGTTTCTGTATCTGTTTCACCTTGAAAGTTATCCTTCACCATGTAAAAGAATATTCCTTCTGTATTCATGGAGGGAGCCGCCTCTTCGGCTTTTTCTTGGGCATTTTCTCTTGTTTTCTTTTCTTTATGACTAGGTTCAATCTTTTGAATTCTATTCTGTAGATTCTGTTGATATGATTGCTTCTTCAACTTCATGGACGGATGGTGATATTCTTCCATTTGATGGTTAGCAGAGTCGATGACAGGAGCGTAAGTATACAAAGGATGCGGTGTTTCAGGTTCTTCTGCATGTTGAGCAAACTGATGTAGGTTTTCAGCTTGCATAGCACTTTTCTCCGATTTAGAAAATGATGTAGTGCTACTTGGGTGCCGAGGCAAATTGAGTGAGGGCCCCAGATGTTTTTTTGGCACCACCTGAAATTGTTCTGGTCTAGGTATACTTGATTTCAATTCTTTGGCAATCCCGTAGTATTTGTTGGGAAGTTCACCATTTTCAATCAATTCATTAAGACATTCTATCATAGACTTTATATGGGAAATTTCGTTTGAAGAACACCCTCTTGTCTCTAAATTTTCTAACTTTTGTACTAATGTTTCTTTTTCGTTCATCCATTTATCTCTTATTTCAGTATAGTCTCTCGATATCTCATCGGCTTTCGTATCTTTCACTGTTATAGGCGATTTGCCAATGCTAACATTTGATTGCGTTTGAATTGCAGTGTTTGTACCTGTAACATTTCGGAACATGTCTTTTAAATGATACAATCATATTATCTGTTATTATAATGTTCACATTGGAGATAAAGCTCTTGCATTTTTTTGGTGTACAACACAATTTAAAAAATTTGAAATATTCGTGTATAGGCGCGCTCAAAAGAAATATAACTCGAAGAAATTTCTCCGACAAATCTTCGCTAAATTACAGTGTCTTTTGACATTCTCCAGTGTGCTTCATTGTCGAAACAAGATACGAATCACTGATGTTTCGAAAAATGCAAAAGATTTTTGTTCGCTCAGTGATTCATTTCTAAGACGAATGGCACATCCTATCCGTGAGCGAAATATTTTGTATTTTATTTATAAACAATTCATTTAAAAAAAAAGCATAGGTTATAAACAACAGTAACTACTGGCCATTTGTTTTAAATTCCGTCTTATTGATTTTTTCGAACAACTTGCATTCGTCAGATTTTTAGAAGTTGTTAATGCTAGTGAAATTGTATAACCGGATGAGGTGCTAATAATATCACTATTTGGATCTTATATTGTATTGGTACTGCAACTATACTTGTTAAAAATGAATTATAGAACATGCTTATGAAGGATACAGCCGAAATCTTTATGACAGGAGTAAAATCGATTTTAAAAATCTATGCTTAATTTTCGAAAAACTTGGCTTTCGCTAGGTTTTAAATTCTTTTCTAGAAACAAATATTGCTGCGAGAGTCAGTAAGATTGGTTATCTGCAGTCCACTCGTTTTCGAAGTTACTAATAGTCGTAGGACACCAGTGGTGAGGCTCCAAGAAAATACGACACTACCCAAACGACTAGAAATCAAGATTTCGCTTAGCTCATATTTCAATGTAGGATATCAATTCATGAAAAACAATCAGTATAATCCTATTGGAAGTTGCTGAGACGTAACCGAGTTTTCCGAAAAAATTCCTAGAAGTCTATTTTTAGAAACTGCACTTTTATAATATTTCTCGTTTTTTGATTAAGGCGAACTAGTTTCAGTTTGTTTCATTTTTTCGTTTTTGTTCTCGTCTGTAAAACATCATGTTCAGTGATATCATTTTCGTTAATGCTTATTTTCTCATAAACAAAATTGTAATACATTGTAATATATTTCTGATGTATTTTTTTGAATAATATTTGATGTATTTCCTCAATTCTTTTTTTATGTCAGATTCTGTATGATATGCATAATGTAAAAAATATTGATTTGTTGAAAACTTTTTCTGTTAATTATCTATAATATAATTATGAGTTAGTGTTACTGATATATGTACGAGTACGCTTTAAATTCAATTAATTTTTATCGTCTAACCAATGCTTGGTTATTCATAGATATTAAATAACGTTGAATTAGTTTATTAATACGATCGATATTCACTTTTGCTAATAATTCAGTGCAACGACGGTGAATTAAATTAGACACTATTTGTATACGATAATAAGTTAGGAATAATCAGTCTGGCATAATATCTGTTTAGTCTGAAAAAATAACATGCTATTATAATTACTCTTCAAAATCTCGACACATTTACGTATGCTGTTAATTGCTGATTAGCCTTCATTCTTATCGTGCTTTGAACAATGGTTATTCATAAACATGTTCATACCTGATTACTATTGATTTTTAACGTTTTAAAGCATAAAGATGAGATTTTTGCCATTTCAGCTATCAAGTTGTACTGATGTGCTATCGATAAAGGATATTAGAGATCTTGTATTAAGAGTCCTCTAGGCAATGATGATTCTCGGTCAAAATGTCGATTTTGAGACAAGCACATGGAAAGACAGCCTGAAGTGTTTACTTTTAGAATCTTTATAGCTTTCGGTCCTATAAGTGATATTTCGGGACTTTTGAGCAAGTTTTCTAGGAGTCTCGAAAAACAGACTCTTCAAATAAGTTTTTTCCTAGATACTTATAGAATTAAATTTTCTTTATGAACGCATAGATTTGTAGAGCAAACTTTTCTGATCAAAATAAGATCTCACACAACTCTGTTTGACCTTGCGTGAAAAAGTTACAAGCATTCTCCTACAAGCCCTAAAATGAACCAATCAATGCACAGCGTTTTCTCTCAAAACACACTTTTTGTACAGGCATCCTTAGTGTACGGCAGTTTTTTTCAATTACGGTTCATCGTAGAGACTTTCTTCTTTTTAATCGAAAGAGCGAATAATTCTAGATGGGCTGATGGGAGCCGATTTGTCAATTAGACCTTAGTTATTAAGAAAATTAAGGATCTCTAGAAAACGAACGAAGACTTAATTAAAAAATCGGCGGCGGGCAGCCCATGTCGTTAGGTGTCTAGTTAAAAATAAAACAAATCCGAACTCTTATACACTCATTGAAATACATATCGGTGATATTTTTGAAAATTGAGTACAAGAACAGTCATGCAATTGCACTGTAATCATCGACTTTTAAAAACATTATTTAGTGTCATATTTTTTATTACTCGCAACCTCCAGATAGTTGACAGATTATCTTCGAAGAAAGAAATATGCAAGATATTGACTGTGGTTATCAGTACCATATCAAGATATTTGATTTTTATTCGTTTAAAAAAACAGCCAGATTTTTTACCTTTTATGCCTACTTGAAAAGGTAGATCCTATTTTTTTTCTTAATATTGACTGTGGTTATCAGTACCATATAAAAATGTTGCTTGGCGAGTCAAAAAGTTAAGCTTCTTTTACATTTTTTAAAAGACATAAATCTATTGTCTCGTATAAGGTCAATTATCGTTTACATGGTGATCAGTAGTTGAACAAGTAATCATGATTTTTTCATCTGAAATATCAGCTATTCTCGTCTTGGTAGCTGTATGTTGCAGCGTACTCGCACTTATACTCGTCATCATTGTAATTATTGTTTTAATTTGTTATATTTGTAAGAAAAAATCAAAAATAAATCCAAATAAAGTTAGAAGAACATCTCTTGATAGCGTTAGTATCAAATCTATTTCAGAATCGCAACCTACCAAAGAAATAAAATCTGAAACATATTCGGAACCAAGACATTCAAATGGCACCAAGATACATTCGGATCATGGACGACATATCAATAGTGAAGCATCAATGGTTCCTGTTAATTCGTATCAAAAACAAAAACAAAAATATGAACGAAATATAACAAGATCATACACAAAAAATCCACATAATAATAACAATGAATTAGAAACGAATGATGTAAATAGATCAATGAAAATTCCACGTAGAATGAAAACATTAACGACTGCAACACTTTATGAGCGTGAAACGCCCTATCCACATGATATTACTGAACGAGAAAGAAAAATGAATGCCAAACGTTTTCTAACAGCTAACAAAGAATATTAAATCGTTTGTTAAAAATTATCGTTTAAAATATATAGACAAAAATAGATTTATGCTAACTTATTAATAGTATCTAAACAGGATCAATATTTGCAAACTGATGCACATGCTTGTTAAATGCAATTATTCTAAAACGTCTATTCAACTATCAATATCATCATAGATCTGATGCGTTTAAATCGTGACTAATGTCAAAATATTTTTCGTCTAAGTTTACGCATATTATTGCCTTTTGTCAGATATATATTTAATTTTTTCCCATTTTAAATCTGAATTCAATTGTTTGAAATAAAAAAATTATTTTTCGTTCACATTGACATTTTATTCTTATAATATATACTCTACGCATTATTCGTACAATAATTTTAATATTACACAATTATTCGCAGGATATTACTTTGAAAACAACTATTAACAACAATATAGATTTCTTTAATAATTTTTTTTTGTCAATTTGATTAGTTCAGTATAGTGTTTCGATTTATCGCATGATAATGATGATCGTCCGTCGTATATTTTCCAGAATAGTGAAAAATTGTTAAATTAATACATTTTCTATGTGTAATCACATAAACAGTAAAGAAATTTAAAATGAACTGGAAAGTGATTGAATAGATTCGATTAACGGTGGTCGCTAAAAAAAGTATAAATGATAGTCATTGATTATATAAAAACTTTATCAAAATTCTCTTACATCCTTGCAATATTCAATAAAATCTTCCACTGTTACTTGATTAACTTGTAAGGGATCAACATGCTGAAATTGACAAAAATATCTAAATCTTTTTCAAGTAGTTATGTATTATGAGAAAAATGCGTATACTTCTAAAATTTCATCAATATGCTTTTGTATTTCATTTTCTTGCACTCTTGGCTGAACCGTTGGACCAATTAAATCGTATAACGAACGTATAACATCAGCAAAACTCTAAATAGTTAATTAAGAAAAAAGATTACTGTTCAAATAAACAAATAGAGAAAATCTATTTACCTCTCTTGATAGTTGTCCATCGCCAGAAATATCATAAAAACGAAATATCCATTTTAATTTATCTTCAATAGTTCCTCGACATAGAACAGATAAAGTTAAAATATAATCCTAAATAAATAGTTCATAATTATAGGTAAAATTTGTTGTAGATTAGTCTTCTTACATCAAATGTAAAAGTTCCTTTGTGATTTCTGTCCATAATTGTAAATAAATAATGTGCGTATTTAATTGGACTTCCTTGAGGAAAAAATTGTAAATAAATCTCTCGCAAACGTTCCTCGCTAACACTGCCGCTCGGACATTCCTAAAATTTTATTGTTAACCTTGTTAGAGAGAACAACAGAAATAAAACAGAAACTATTGGAAAAAAAGTATTTTATTTACTTGTTTAAAACCTCGATATAATAATCGAATTTCGGATCTGCTAAATTTTGTACATTTGATCATATCATCCAGACTGCGCGGGTGCTGAAGAGCTTTACAGATCACCGGATCTAAACGACTATCTAAATCAAAATTTAAATAGAATTAGCCCTAATAATCGTTCATCGTTTTCTGCCATGCATGATAACCGTTTCTGCGTAGAATATGAGAAATATCTCATTAGAGCTGAGTAATAAATAAAATTTACGTTTATCTTCTAAGTCTGCAGATGTCATCGCTGTCCAGTTTGTCAGAAAATTTAGTTTTTATTCGCTGTCAAAATGAGCATATTAAAATATGTTCAAATTCGACTAGATACATTTCCAAACAAATTTTCAAAAGATTTAAAAAGCAAGGCTCTTAAAGGATTTGTGGTTTCAAAAAACAATACATAAAGTTTCATTAATAAATTATGCAGAATTGTACAGCTGACTCTTTGCTCTTCAAAATGAGTTATGAATTATCTCTATATGATTTACCCTTTTCAGACTAATGAGCTTTTCAGTGCACGATCCAAAAATCTTATTAATCCTCAGTTAAATATCTTCATAGCAACTGAAATTTTCGTACCGTACAGTATGATACCATTTATCCATGCATAACAACAATCCCAGATGTTTCTTTCATACTGTTTCAAATGTATTTTTAAGAGTATGTGTAAATAAAAAAGCTTTTTTTTGTTACATCCGTTGTCGGTTATGATTTATTTCGGTTAACCGATTAGAAATCGAAACCGGTACATTTCTAGTACTAAATGCTGCATTTTGACTGTATGCACGACACCTGAAACTCTAGAAGGCTGAATATTTCGTTCTCAAATGGTTTTTCATATAGGTCACCAGGATCAATAGATCCTAAAATTTTGGTCAATATTAGATGCATAATTGAAGAAAAAGTGTTCTGAATCTTCCTTCAGTCTGAAAACATGTCCCAGTTGAGATATATATCTTAGTCGGGACATACGTCCAAATCGGGTTACCACTTTTTTACAGCACAGTTTTTTTTCATATTTGAATTTCGTTATATACTCCATTTTGTCTACCAAGTATTTTAAAACAATAGAAAGTGCATTGGTTTTTGGAAAAGTTTTCTAGAAATGTTTGTAGTAAGGAAAGGTTTTTCTCTAAGCTTAACCACAAAACTGGATCTAGAAGGCAAAATGGAATATATGACGAAATTTTGGAGTAGTTCGGATCGATTTTGATTGTTACGATATATAGTTACGAATATTTTAGTTTTCGCTGAAAACAGTCACAAAGGACAAGAGAGGATAAGGTTATTTTCCAGCCCTCAATATTTTTTGATGAAAACCATCAGATTATAGGTTATTCGATATGCTGAACAAAATGACTTACTCAGTTTTTCGAAATTCCAACTTTCGATTTTTCGATCTGTGGTACCTACCCCTCACGAAAAATGAGAAATCTTTTTTCTCTGATTTTTTTAAAAAGACATGTAATCGATGCAGTTTTTCAGATACGGACAACTTTTCATGCTCTATCGAATGGAGATAGTTGGAAAAGAAAAAAAGAGGACGTTTTTAGCATTTGGAAAATACGTTTTTTGAATACTCAGGGTTAGAAAAAATATATATTTTATTCATAGCAAAAAGATAGCCCAATTCATTTCCTTCAAAATGAAACGTTGTCGAGATTTTTAGCTTGTTTTGTTTCCGAGATATAGCGATTTTAAGTTTTTTGTGCTTTCTGCCATATGGAAAAATAAGTACAAAATACTGTATAGTTTAAAATCACTGTATCCATTCGATAGAGCATGAAAAGTTGTCCGTATCCTGAAAACTTCATATTGTAACCTCTTTTTGTTTGGCCACAGTAAGAAAAATACTTCAAGTATCGGAGCAAAAATCCAGTATTTTCTCTCTAATTTCGTTCTTTCCACTGATAAGAGGTATTTTGAAGCATTTTTTCACTCTCCAGCAGACGAAGAAACTTGTTTTGAGTATAACTGACAACTCGTTTGAGTGAAAAATTCATTTTTACGAAGTCAGTAGTCTGTTATGGTAAGTGATTTTCTAACAGTAAAAGTCACTTTTCTCCAAGAAAAACTGCATCGATTACATGTCTTTTTAAAAAAATCAGAGAAAAAAGATTTCTCATTTTTCCTGAGGGGTAGGTACCACAGATCGAAAAATCGAAAATCGGAATTTCGAAAAACTGAGTAAGCCATTTTGTTCAGCATATCGAATAACCTATAATCTGATGGTTTTCATCAAAAAATATTGAGGGCTGGAAAATAATCTTATCCTCCTGTCCTTTAATTGTTTCACTTACTATAAGTTTTTACTACGTCCTTAAATTGTCTTCTGAACGAAACGTTGCCACGAGACTCGACTTGGTCCAAAATCTATGTATGGCGTTATTTTTAAGGTTATCTGAGCTAACCAGACTGAGGTAGGTATGTCTCAGTAAAATGCCGTCCATCCAGAATTTATAGAAGCTAGAGAAGTCAGACTTGCTCGGATCGATAGAGGACACACTATGCTATATGTCGAGTATATTAAATATAGAAATCTCTAGAGGAAAGAGCAACGATCTCTTCTTTCAGTAATTTACCATATATACCACCTGCAGGTTGACCCATTCGCTTAATTTTTCATAGATATTTTCCTCAGATCTTCTGTACACAATGGTAGATACACTAGTGAAATCGAAACAAACAAGAACAAAAAGAAAACCGCAAGTGTCTATCTCATTCCTATGAAAAATATTCAAAAAAACAATCGATGGCATTTTATTTCGAAACAGATAGTAGATGTGATATTATTTTTAGCTCATAATTTATATTATTATAACCTGAAAAAACTCCGAACAATAAATAAGCAACAATCTTCATTATTTGCTGTGCTAGCGTGAGATATCCTTTTTTTTCTCCTCTATGAATATCTTTTTGTTTTTCTTCAGTTGTTGAAAAGTGAAAGAACTAATTTCATATATTGTCATATTTGTTCTAAAACCTCATCTAAATTATATATAGCTTACGAAATTTTACAAAGATAAAAGTAGAACTGATCCTAAAAAAATTGCAGAATTGATCTCTTTTATATAAAAAATACAAAAAACGATTCTGATTTATCAAAAAAATGTATTCTTTTTATGGAAAAGATCCCCAAAGATGCTATTTTGTATTCTTCTACAGAAATAATCTAGGAAAATTCATTTTCTATTTTCATGCTAATTAGATCACAAAACAGATAATAGTCGATTTCAATTGTTGAAGTATTTTTATAGACTGTGAAAGTATCATCTGTTTGACCTGGGAAGACGGAGGGGTCACTATTTATGTAAGCTAACGGTAATGTTAGTTGCTAAAACGAAAATATAGAACGAGGTTTGATAACAATTTATCAGAGATCTTTTGAGAATGAGAGCGAGGAAAACAGTTAAGAAATTTCCTTTTTGTAAATGTAAAAAAACCGGCCAATTACGTTTAGGCAATTCAAATAGGTACTTTCACAATTCATAAAAATGCTTCAGCAATCGAAATCGACTATTATCTGTTTTGTGATCTAATTAGCATGAAAAAAGAAAAGAAAATTTCTTGGATCATTTCTGTAGAAGAATATAAAATAGTATCTTTGGGGATCTTTTCCGTAAAAAGAATACATTTTTTTGATAAATCGGAATCGTTTTTTGTATTTTTCATATAAGACTAATTCTGCTGAATTTTTGAAGTCTTTAAAATTTTCCAGGAAAGAAGATAAAACAATTTGATCAATATAATACTAGTCTAGAAAACAAATTTCTGTTTGCATATGTTCTATGATTCACAACAGAGCCAGTTTTTGCTAAAATTTGAGCGATATATTACAACGACAGGATCCCATTAGATGCAATAGCGCAATAAACTAACAGTTCATAATAGTATGTTTCAATATGCTAGTATACAATGTATAGTATGTACAATGTATACTATAAATATCTAACAAAATATACTGCGAGTGTTATGCGTAATTCTACGAAGGAGATAAAACTGCATCGGTCACTTATGTTTAAATCAAAATTCAACTTATTTTTGGCTGATTCAATTGCTCTTACACCAACTATTCGGTTTCAAGGTTTGATCTCTAATTCCTTTTGTAAGATAACAGAATTAAAGTGTGAAAAATTTTGTGCAACATAAACTATTGTAAACATTCCAAAATGTCCGATCGACTTTTTCAGGAAAAGCATTCAGATTGGGGTTATTTTCTATGCTGTTCACAAATCTGCTTTTCATACTTCCTCATAGTCCCATCAAGTGTCAGTCTGTAGAAATCGAACGTCTTGAGACCCATTTCTAAGCTTCAAGTGGAAAGATTTTAATACAACTAGTTTTTAGATTTATGGACCAACTTCATATTAAGAGCTAATATTTTCACTTCTACTTTTGATAAATAACAAAAATATCAGGATTTTGTATTTGAAGAGAAAATGTTATCTCTTAATATAAAGGTAGTCCGTAGATCTACATATTATTCTACATGAAGAACTTACTCTAAAAGCTAGTTGTATCAAAATCTTTTCACTTGAAGCTTAGGAATGGGTCTCAAGACGCTCGATTTCTACTGACTGACACTTGATGGGACTATGAGGACGTATAGATAGCAGATTCGTGATCAGCATAGAAAATCACCTCGGGCTGAATGCTTTTCGCGAAAAAATCGATCGGACATTGCGGAATGTTTTCATCGTGAGATGAAAATCAATCGGTCTTGAAATTATTTGTTCAATCGATTCTGGCCGCTTTTTTTGTTATCTTAAAAAGATTTTTTGAATTTTTGAATTAGCTGTCGAAAAATAAACTTAATTTATCTCGTGATTAAAACACAACGAACCCATGAAATGTTTTCCCCTTCTTTCTAATGGAAAATTTTGTTTAAATTTTAGAGGAGAAAATGAATTATTTTTTGGAAAACTTTGTATGTCATAAATTTTAAAACTTTGTAAAGATTATTTTTGGAATTACTTTTTTCATCATGAGTGTAAAAAGTTGTTTACTCTTTTAATATCAAAAGATTCTTATCTATTTACAAAAATATATGGAGAAAAAGTGGTACGTAGTATTCAGAAAAAGGATCAGATTAAAAGATATTTTTTCTTATAAGAAGGAAATGGAATTAAGAACCGATGTGTACGTAAGCTTTGATCTCATACTAGCTAGCTTCTGGTGGAATTGGAATGGTTTTATCTACTTTTATTATAAAAATTTTGTCGCTCTCATACTGATTACTTATAACATCCACTATAAGAAAAATTATTTTACTTTGTTATAGCTAGTTTGATGACAAATGCATTACATTTAGTACTATATTTAAATCTGCATAAGTCTGTTTGCGTACAATGAACTATTCAGTTCTTGAGATGTAACAATGCAATTAAATCAAATGCCAAGCAAAAAAGAAAAACATATGAGGAAAATAAAATTGTTTCATTCGCTTGGTACATTCCATGTTACATCTAGACACACATACAGACACAGAGTACAGAATACAAGCAAAATGATTAAATTATCTATGCTCATTTAAATAAATAAAAAATAGTCATAGTTTTATTTGTTAATATTTGACAAAATGCCAACTTTGATTGAGACAACTACTATAGAAGCCATGATTGGGTTTTAACGTTAACAGAGAAAACAAACGGTATTAAACTGATGACTATTTTGAAAATCTATAATTTATAATATGAAATTTATACACTCAAACTTGTTTTAAGATCATCAAATGAATATCAACTAAATAGTTAATCTACCATTCAAGAGGTTTTCTAAGATTATTAAAATAGGCATACTTCAAATATCCAGAAATCTATGTATCTCATATTTGTTCAAAGCTATTTGACTAATTAACAATTAACTCATATAAACAACTGTCAATAAACCGATGACTTACCCTTATTGAATCCTTTCTTTTTTCCAAAATTTATGCTCGTTTGTGTGTGAAGTCCAGCTATATTAGCTCCCATGATTGATGGATATGTTTCTCCACTATTTAATACATGTATGAAAACAATTATGTTTTTGAGAGAAGTGAGGCATGATGACTGATTAACGTATTAAACAGATAGATCTCATTCAAAATTAAGTTGATACAACTATCTTTCTGTATGGATGTTACAATTTGGACATGACATTTTATTCTCTCTATCTTTCTTCTTACTTTAGTTCTTTCGATTACTAAAAATTATTGCACATAGTATTTTTATCTATGTATAGTTCTGTAAATAATGTAAAAATAGATAGCTGAAAAAAAAATAGAAGAGAAATAAATCGTACTAATGGTGTGAAAGCTATACACTACTCTGTTTGATGAGACAAAAAAGAGAAGCTGATCTTAGAAGAAAAATAGACACATGTTAAAAATTTATATAGAACAGTTTGAATCTATTTTCAGTAGACATCGATAGATGACAAACAGATGATCATCTCAGAGTCTGTAATAATTATTCTTCAACAATCATAATAACAATAGATAATAATCATAGATTCCAAGAAAAAAAAGGAATAAAAAAGATCACAAGTGTGTAGAAAAAACAATCAAAAAAACATGTCGTTTTTTATATGTCTGATTTACGGTAAAACTAACTATACGATAAATAGGACAAGAATATATCGAAGCACTCTTAAACTAACGAATACATGTATCGTTATAACTTTTTCAGAAGTCTGTTCTATAATGATTATCTGTTTTATTATTTTTCAATTTTTGAACAGGTTATTCTTCTAGTAAATCCTAAGTTCAAAACGGCGTTGCACGAACCTTGAGAATACGCCATTGAAGTCAGTGGCGGATCCAGAATTGTTTTTTGGTACGTGCGGTATACGATAAAAGTGCGAGATACGTGCGGTCGTCATAGAAACAAATTATTCTAAGAGAGATCTGCTAGGAAAGAACAGTTGTTTGGTTAAAAGGTACGAACGGTTGCTCGTACCGCTCGCAGGCTGGATCCACCACTGATTGAAGTTTCAGTTTACCGCACAAACAAATCTCATTGATATGTGTAAGAAAAGTCTTACGAGGGAACCTCTTGAGGTTATAAATCGCTTTTGAACTCGGACTACTTGTATCTTGCAGACCTCAGTGAGTAGTGAAATACCCTAAGTACACCCTAAGTAGAGTTGGAACCGGTCCGGCAATCCGGCTCTGGACCGGCCGGACCGGACAAGACGGGACGAAAAGTTAAACCGGCCGGACGAAACCGGATTTTTTGCCAGTTCTTGAAATTGAAATTGATACTTGTATTTCAAAGTTTTCTCCGACGAAAACAACTTTTATTCGCGTTTTTTGCGTTGAAATATTATATCAGCGATTGTTAGAAATTCTATATGAATCAGAGAACATACGACGAAAATATTCGTACAAATTCATGTACATACACAGCTTTGAATCAAAGCCTTTAATTATATTTAGTAGTAACTGCTTCCGATCGCTTAAAAATGAACCGGCCGGATTTCGACCGGACCGGACCGGACCGGATGGGAAAAATCCGTCCGGTTCCAACTCTGACCCTAAGTACACCCTCACCCTCACCTTCAGGTGAAATATTCGGGTCTCAATATCTCAAGGCAGGAAAGTTCATTAGGATCGAATTTTTTCCCGTCGT